AGTGGGTGGTGGGTGGGTTTTGAATTTCTTCGTCGTCTGTATCCCAACCCTGCTGGCCATAGTCCGGCCAGGGCTCTCCTGACAAAGAGAGAGACTTTAGGGAGTTCAGGATATCGCCAAAGGGCGAGTACTTAAAGACGTCCGCGGCGGTGAACTCCATGATCAGAGCCCAATCGGGTTCGATCGGAAGGGGTGCGGAAGATGCGGAGTCCGGAACAGAGTCCGGCACCTTGGAGTCACGGGCCTTGCAAAGGACTAGGCTGGTATTCGGCTCTATCACTGTAGGGATTGCGGCTCCCGGGGCGGCGTCCAACCGTCCGTCCCTGGTTAGCGCAGTCGGCTCCGAACTGATGGTCAGAGCAGACTCCTGAGCGGCACTCTGGGCGCTGTCCGGCGGCAGAGCTAGGTCATGCCCATCGAGACAGTGCGGCGCGCTCGGTCGTGGCTCGAATCCGTCGAAGATCAAGTCCCCGCGAATGTCGGTCGTGTAGTTTAAACTTCCGAATCTGACCTGGTGGCCAGGGGCATAGCTTTCGATCTGATCCAGATGGCCAAACGAGTTGGCCCGTAGTGCAAAAGCCGCCGAATACGAAGATCTGTCAGGGGAGAAAAGTCTCACCCTGGACCGCGTCGTGGTTGATGATCGAAGAAGCCATCGGGCCTAAAGGCGACGACATAGAGGAACTCTCAATGAAAGCACCAATATCGGTGTCAAAACCGGCGGATCTCGGGTAGGGGGTCCCAAACTGTGCGTCTAGGCGGATGGTAATAGGAGACAAGGGACACGATGTTTTTACCCAGGTTCGGGCCCTCTCGGTGGAGGTAAAACCCTACTCCTGCTTGATTGATATTGATGGTATGGGTATTACAAGAGTTGATCTACCACGAGATCAGAGAGGCTAAAACCTAGAAGCTAGCCTATGGTATGATTGTTGTTCGTCCTACGGACTAAAACTCTCCGGTTTATATAGACACCGGAGAGGGCTAGGGTTACACAGAGTCGGTTACAATGGGAGGAGATCTTCATATCGTATTGCCAAGCTTGCCTTCCACGCCAAGGAAAGTCCCTATCCGGACACGGGACGGAGTCTTCAATCTTGTATCTTCATAGTCCGGGAGTCCGGCCAAAGGTCATAGTCCGGCCATCCGGACACCCCCTAATCCGGGACTCCCTCAGCGACCATGATGGATGCCGCGGCGGATGGCACTAGCGGCGGCCGGTGACAGCGGCAAATTCCCTAAGCGGTCCAGGAGAATACGAACGTAGATCAATCAATCGGATCGATTAGATTGTCCATAGGGCAAACAATAGCCGACACGTACATATCTATGGGTTATTGGGCTCTGGTCATCAATATTTGGCGTAGCTAGTTCAATGGATAAATGGTATACATGGGCTAATGATGCGATTAGCTACAGCCATTAGCGATTACCACAACCTGCTAAAATTTGTTGAGGGGGCGAGCGATTAGACCCCTGCTCGCCCCCCTTGTCTCCGCCCCTCGGAGCTGGTCCAGGCAAAGCTCAACATGGATGGAAGCTTCATCGCTACGACTGGGTCGGCAAGAGGCGGCATGATACTTCGGGATGCACGGGGAGAGATCATCTATAGTGCGTGTCGACAAATTCGTACATGCCATAATGCGCTAGTTGCGGAGCTAGTGTAGAGAGGGTCTGGAGCTGACCCTCTACATGACGGATATGACCATCACGGTCGAGATGGATTGTGCTGAGGCGGTGACCATGCTCAAAGCACAATCAGAGGATAGATCAGCTCACCGTACTCTCATTGAGGAGATTAGGAGGCTGGTCGCTTATGAGGCCAGAGAGATATTTTTTACTCTTTGTAGTCGTGCACAGAATAAAGTTAGCCTCAAACTTGCCGCCTACGGCCGTAGAACTTCCCGTACTGCTGTCTGGCTACATTCGGGGTTAGACTTTGTTGTGAACTTGGCAATGGCTGAGAAGCCACCCTGAGTAATGAGAATCTCCTTTTTCCCCCGAAAAAGAGGAGGGTGGCGACGAGGTAGACTCATGGCGGCGGCAAGATGGCCTTTGAGATGCTCTAATTAACGTTACCAGCTCCCAAAGGTATACTTCTACTAGGCTCTGAGGGCGTGTTTCGTTGCCAGCATTAGGCCCAGCCTGACCCGAGCGGGAAGAATTTGGCCCGTTTGGTATTCTGCATTCACTGTGCGGCCCGCATTGCACGAAACTTAAAGCACGTGCAGGCCAGGCCCAGGGGAAACGTAGGATTGGGCAGTAGCTCGCGAGCCTGGTTCGGGCGAGGCAGGGGAGGGCGACGCGCTTCTCCCCTCGTGCGGGCAGGGGAGATGGCGCGAGCTCGGCCACGTCGCCGAAAAATCGGCGGGAGGATTTTGGCTCACCTCCCGCCGCTCCACCCCTTATTTAGCCCCTCCCTCGCGGCCCCAACTTCCGCCACCATTCTTCCTCAGTTTGCACCTTCCCGCCGACGCGCATCGGCACCGACGAGCAGGTAAGCGGCGCATCTTCATCGACCGGCGGTCCACGGCGCCGGAGCTCCGTCATCGGTCGGTGTTCATCTTCCACCACCGTCCCTCCTCGTCCTCAAGCTGCAGCCATGGCCTCTGTGAGTTCAACCCCCCTTTCTCTCTGTTCCTTCTAGCTAGATCTGAGCTGCAGCTAGGGTTTGATCTAGATGCATGGTTGATTAGTGGTCTGATCTGTGAGCTGATATGGTTGATTGCTATGCTGCGGTTGTAATTTGTGGTAGGGCTAGATGTTCAAGCATGTGGTAGGCTAGATTAGTAGTAGAGTTTGAAGTTGAACCTTGTGCTTGTGTTGAATCATGTTTAGATCTGTGATTTGTAGCTATTGGTGGTCCATTTGTGGCATGATGTTTGTTGTAGATGTATGTTTCTGCTCATAGATTGTCTGCTATGCTTAGTATGATAGTGATGAAGCATGTGCTTGCTATGATAGTGATGAACCATGTACATGTATGCTCCTGCTTTCATGGATTGTCTGGTATGTTGTGTGCTATGCTCACTGTCAATGCGTGCTATGATTGTAGGACATGACCACGCAGACGCATGATCTTAGTCAGGCCATTGTCGTGTCCGACAGCCAGTTTGCCCCATCGTTTGTCGAGGACTCGCAGCCTATGTCTGAGATGGCACCTGATTCAGAGGTGTTCGAGTCTGATTCCCTCTATGTGCCAGTAGTGCTCGTTGAGCCAACTCCTGTTGCTGCTACTGCTGCCGCTGCAATCAAGCTAGCAGCAGCAAAGGCAAAGAAGGATGGTAGGTCGAACAACATGAAGTGGCAGCCGTTCATGTCCACGTTCATGCTGAACAAGATGTGTGAGCTCATCTCTAGTGGAGTTAGGACTGACAAGGGCTTCAAGGAGGTGCACTTGAACACTGTTGCGAAGCAGGTGTTCGAGTTCTGTGGGCAAGAGGTGTCTGTCAACCAGGTGTACAACCACCTGAGGAAGTGGAGAAGTCGATGGATCCAAGTGTCCAAGCCGAGAGACCTTAGCGGCGCCTCATGGGATGAGAACACTTGCTCCATAGTTCTGAAGGCAGAGCACTACGCCGGCCATGTCGCGGTTAGCTCACAACCCTCTTCCTTTTCATACTGTCCACCATTGCCTACTCCTAATCGGAACTAACAACACATGTGTTTCATTCTTAGGACCACTGAAGGGACGTTGAGTTCCTCAACACACCCATCCAGAACTACAGCCAAATGCAGCACATCTTCTCCTTCGGGCTGGCAACTGGGAAGCATGCCATGGGCTCGGGTGAGCTTCTTGGTTCTCCCATGCCAGACTTCCCTGGGACACCGGACGTCGAGGTCCTTGATGGCCCTGACAAGCCCGCTGTGAAGCCCTTCGACAAGCCATTTGACCCCAACCATGATAGGAAGAGGAAGAGAGGAGGCCCAATGGAGGAGGAGATCAATGTCTTTTGCAGCATGACTGAGGCGGTGAAGGAGGTGGCAACAACCATCAGGGAGTGCAAGCCCCTCGACGTCCACCCTGACCTGTATGGCGCTATCATGACCCAGGGTGGATTCAGCGATGAGGCTCTCATGGTAGCTCTCAGCCACCTGCTTGACAACAAGGCCCAGGGTGTTGGGTTCGTTGTCATGGCCGACACTCACAGGGTGTTGTGGCTCAGGAGCTGGCTGGGCAAGCACTACTACTAGAGTAGTGTTGCATGTGAGCGTGCATGATCCCCGATGGCGATGGCGGTGGCGACGACGACGACGATGACGACGTACATTTTGTGTAGCTAGGGCTCAAAAACTATTTGATGGTCTGTATATTTTGGTGAGGTGGTATATACTAACCCCTCACGCTGATGGTGAACTTGCGGTGGTAGGACGACATCCTCTTTTGGATGTGGTGGTAGGTTAACACCAAGGTAGTGCTAGGTTGAACTTGCTATGCCGTATGATCATGCATGCTTTACTTCTGTTCTGCTCCATTGTTGTTTCTGTGCTACTTTGCTTGCTACTTGTGCTTCATTGATTTGCTGCTTCAACTCTTCCTCTTGTGCATTGCTAGGGCAAGTGGTATGCCGTGTTCATTGGTGAGGTTCCAGATGTTTATAGTTCATGGGAAGAAGCCAATGCACAAGTGGCATCGTATAGCAACTGCAACTATAGAGGATTCAAGACTAGACAGGCAGCAGAACAAGCTTACTCCGCCTGGGTGCGAAAACACGGAGGCAGCAGTGTCGACAGTGGCAAGGTTGGAGTTGTCAAAGTGAAAGCTGCTAAGGTGGATCGTCAGTTCGGCCTGAAGCTGAAGAACTTCATCATCTTCGCCCAGTTCGTCACCATTGCTGTGTTGTGGCGTTGGTGTTCTAGCTATGATCATTGTGGGTAAGCTCACCAACTAGGGTACAAGATAAGCACAACATGTACGCCGTATGCAACCAAACGCCGTGTTCATGTGCCGCTAGGGCAAATGCAGCCAACCAAACAAAGTGCACTTGGGTATATACCTAATGCAAGGACTAGGGATGCAGGCAACCAAACAACTTGTGTATGGCGTATTAGGGCCTGTTTTTCCTCAACCAGGCTGGATTGAAAAAACTATGCAAGCCTTTTGTGAGAAACTTGGTTTCGGGAACTTTATGGGGTCCTTGGTAGAGCCATTTGGAGGGGAGGTAATCGGTTTATGATAAAGACCGTGCTTTCAAACACGACACCCAGGATGAGACTACTGTTCCAAACTGGAACGCCCTGAAAGTACGTGTGTGTACTTCGAGTCGGCAGCAAATGCGCGGAGCCGAAACTAGCTCATGGATGAAGCAGCTCGCGAGCTCTTCCCGGCAAGGTCGCCACGGCCACGCCCTCCACCTCTTTTTCACCCGCCTGAGCCTCCAAGCCAGCATCGGCGGCACGGTTGATCCCTACCCTGCTTCCGTGCCCACCGCTCTACGCGCCTGCGCACACCTCGCCGATTCCGGCCGCCTCATCCACGCGCTCGTGCTCACACGCCCCGCCCTCGCCTCGGACAAAGTCATCGCGACCGCGCTGCTCGACATGTACGCCAAGTGCGGCCTCATTCCAAGCGCCCGCAAGGTGTTCGACGAAACGCCGGCGAGGGACCTCGTCGTCTGGAATGCGCTGCTCGCGGGCTACGCGCGGCACGGGCTTCCAGAGCACGCGCTGGCGCTGGCTGTCAAGATGCGGGGCCTCGGCCTGAGCCCCGATCTGGTCACCTGGAATGCTGCCGTGTCGGGCTTTGCCATGGCCGGCGATGGCAGAATGGCCAGCGATTTGGTCGGCGCCATGCAAGAGGAGGGGTTCCAGCCAGATGTGGTGACATGGACATCGCTCGTCTCTGGCTCGGTGCTGAACTTCCAGTATGGGAGAGCGCGAACCCTGTTCCGGGAAATGGTGGCCGGTGGCGCCCGTGTCCTGCCAAGCTCGGCCACGATTAGTAGCATCTTGCCAGCATTTGCCGGAGTCGGTGACACAAAGCATGGGAAGGAGGTCCACGGCTACGCTGTCGTGACCGGTGTCGAGCAGGAGCTCACGGTGAGCAGCGCGCTCGTCGACATGTTCGCCAAGTCCGGGCTTGTGCACGAGGCGTGCCGCTTGTTCGACAAAATGTCAGAAAGGAGCACCGTGACATGGAATTCCATGATCTTCGGGCTGGCGAATTCCGGCCACTGCCGGGAAGCAGTCAGCCTCTTCGACCGGATGCTGGACGAAGAAGCGACGCCGGACCACCTGACGTTCACGGCCGTTCTGACAGCTTGTGGCTACGGTGGCATGGTCGAGACCGGGAAGGCCCTGTACCAGCGCATGCAAGAGGAGCACGGCATCGTGGCGAGGCTGGAGCACTACGCCTGCATGGTGCATTTGCTTGGCCGAGCCGGGAGGCTCGTCGAGGCTCACGATTTCATCAGGGCGATGCCCATCGAGCCCGACTGCTTCGTCTGGGGGGCGCTGCTCGGTGCCTGCCGGAGCCACGGGAACGTCGAGCTCGCGGAGCTGGCGGCGTCCCGCGTGCGCACCGTCGAGCCAGAAAACGCCGCGAGCTACGTGCTGCTCTCGGGAGCGCTGGCAGATGCCGGCAAGCAGAACGACGTTTTCAAGATCAAAAGGTTGGTGAAGAGACGGCGGCTGAAGAGGCTTGACGGTTGCAGCTGGCTAGAGACGTCCTAGCTATGGTGACGATAAGCAGGCTAACATCATGTGCACTGTCGAGCAGTAGCACAATTGTGTGATCATGGCGTGGGAAGATGTGCACTGTCGAGCTCTGGTTAGTTCATTTGCCCCGTCACCTCCTTTCCACAAAACCTACATAATGACTTCTGCAAGATTTATTGGTAATTATGGTTCATATAGTACATATGACAGTTAATATTTAGACAACACATTACAATTACATACACATACTCGAGCATAGGGCGACATTATTGCAGACTGCAAATTATACACAGCACTCAACAACAACATACCACTTCAGACTCGGATTATTGACTCGAATTACACACTTCATAGAACTAGCCCTGATATTTCTAGCTATACATAAAGGACATCAAACTCCTAGTCTCTCCTCTTCACGCGTAGGTGCCCAGTTCAGGATGATCAATTACTCCGAGTTACCTGGTGCTGGACCTAGAAGCAGCATAATTCCTCCCACAGTTCCATTTCCTGGATCTGATCTCTCATCAGGACTAGGAGGTGCCCTCTGCAATGGAGCTCGGCGCAGTGGCTCGAAGAATCTACCAGCCACATCAGGAGGTTGTTCAAAAGATTCCTCTCCAGGCAGAACGACAAGTCCTTCCCGGTGAAGTGTGGATGGCTCGTGGTAACATGTAATCCACAATGAGTCGACGAGTTGCCTTTCCTCTCGTGCAGCATCAAGATCTTCAGGAGCCATCATCCTTATGCTCTGTATACGCCCCCAGAGAAGCCGCCGTAGCCTGTCCTGCTCTGCTAGTAAACTCCTATTCCCCAGTGTTGTGTCCTTTGCAAGCTCAAGCAGGCCTCCTAATGCTGCTTCTCGAACACCAGAGTCATCACTGGATACCAAACGCATCATAAGGCGAGGAAACCCAAGCTGTGCAAACACCGAGCAATCGGAATGGCTTTCGCTGAGTAGATAATGAGTCAGGCTTAGTGCTTTCCTGTCAGAGAAGACACGTGTCTGTCACAGGCATGCTAGTGGGACATTTGGCGAATATACTCAGGCTAGATCAATTATGTTACCTCTGAAACCTTGCACTCTCTGTATTTAAAGCGTCTCTCAGTCCTGCGTATCCATTGGCTAGACGAAATGCAGCAACTCCTGGTTTGTTGTTCCGAATCAAGGCTGAACATGATGTGAGGGAATTGTCAAATTGGAAACTTAACAAAAACATATTAGTTACAGCATCTAAACAGAAAGAGGAAAGAACTTACAGGATAGTGCACCAAGAGCCTTTATGCGTGCAGTGAGATCAGGATCTGATGTAAAATTGGATACAAGTGGCTCAAAACCACTAGCTTCCATGACCAGCTGCTGGCTAGTCGGATTGTTTTGAACAACCGTTGTTACCACATCAGCTGCTTTGGCTCGGATGCGTGCATTAGTATTTCTGAGGTACCTAATAACTGGAACCAAGCCACCAACAGAATGCAGATCTAGCACACCAGAGGAACAAACGGGGAGATTAATACACAACAATGTATTCATAATAAAATGCTCACAAACAATACATGTACAATGTTTTGGTGTCTGTATGCCCCTTGTTTCTCGGTTGGAAGTTTGTCATCGATCTATTCATTCATCAAACAATTCTGGGCACGCAACAATCTTTTGGACCCTAGCAGATCAGCTCCCCTTGGAAGTTGTAATACTAGCATAGTGGAAGAAGAAGCTGAGAATTCACCTGAAGAGCAGTGTTTTTATTGGCAAAACCCACTACAGTTGCCTCCATCCATTTGTTTAGCCACCTCAAGAGAAACTACATATGCCTTTGAAGCATCCAGTGACGTGAACGTTTTCATTTTGACACCAGTAAAGTATGCCTTCCAAGTGCTACCTTTGTTTCCTACAGATGGAACTGTAGGTTCAACTCGAGGTAATAAATCCGAGTTCACGTCACAGAAATGCAATAATAATAATAACGATACATCTGCAGAACTTTAGTGCTTTCATCGATTACTAAACCATAGCAGTGGAGTACTAAAGATGAGTTGCAGAAATCAGAAAGTTCAGTGGACACTTCTATATCTATATCTATACTCCTATAAAAGACTCAGTTGGTGATGATGGTGTGTCCCCTAGCCATCATTTTTGACCATTAGATCTGCATCTAACGACTGTGAGGTAAGTTGTGGCCTTTTTGCAACAATAGCCCACTTCTCTGCTCCAATTTGCAAAAAACCCCTTAGTATCTTGGAACCAACCACATCCCTCCCTCACCTCATCAAAACAGCCCGAGTAATATATTTTTAGTGAAACATAATAGTATATTTTTAGTGATATATGTATATCAAAACTAAGAGTGTTTTCTTTCAAATTTGTGAATAAGTATTATTCTACTTTGGATCCGTTGCAACGCATGGGCACATTGCTAGTTATGATAACAATACATCTGCAGAACTTTAGTGCTTTCATCGATTACTAACCCATAGCAGTGGAGTACTAAGGATGAGTTGCAGAAATCAGAAAGTTCAGTGGACACTGGGACTTCAATTGTTTAGAATAGTAAAAATGTTGTGCAAGGACATTGCTCGACTGAGATCTCTGCGTGGCTGCGTGAGCATCCCAAGAGGTCGTCAAAAGGATATGACTTATGTTTCCCATGCTAAGCCAACCCATAAACCATAGTTGGACCATGGCATTCCAGGAGGAATGTCAAAACATAACAATGATCAGACATACCATTTGCTATGTCGATAGACTCGACATGTACTTGCAGCTCTGCGAGTAAATCTGCAACGGTCACAAGTAATTAATCAGTACCAACTGTGAGTTGAGCAAACAAAATACTAGTGTTATTGGGCTAAGATAAGCCTATAACAAATGACAATCTTCAAAAGATGCCTAACATTTTGAAGGACGAGACAAAGGGTTTTATTCCCGTTGACCTGAAAAGCTTGGGTGAATTACGAATACCAATCGCAATGTTACGGATTACAGAATATTCAGAATGCTGGAACATTCCTAACTGCCGCATATGTTTCACCTAAATTGTTCAAAACAACCCTATTCCAATCTTTCTAAGGGCGGGCAAATTGTTACCACTATTCCACGCATCCAGCATCCTCAGTTTATCCAAATTCTCAAATCCACTCTAATACTACAAATCCACTGTCGCCAACGGGCAAGTGTGGATTACGAATACCAATCGCAATGTTACGAATTACAGAATATTCAGAATGCTGGGAATATTCAGAATCGCATATGTTTCACCTAAATTGTTCAGAACCATCCATATTCCAGTCTGTTCAAGGGTGGGCAAATTGTTAGTACCACAACTCCACACATCCATCATCCTTACTATCATCAAAACTCTAAAATCCACGCTAATACTACCAATCGACCACCGTTTATCGTCGACGACTGATCCGTACCTTCGATGTCCTCGGGTGTGATGCCCTGCGCCTCCAGGACGGAGAGCGGGGTTCTCATCAGCAGCGCGATCTCCCTCAGGCGGCCCACCACGTCCTCCGCCATGTGCCGCTCCACCGCCTCCGCCAGCCACCTCTGCTCCTCCTCACTGCACACAGAACGCCACACCCTTGCCTCAGCCGCAGCCCAAACGAAAACAGCAGAAGAGATAAGCCTCCATTTCCCTTCGCCCCACCTGATGTCGCGAGAAGGCCGCGCGCCGTCCATGTAGGAGAGGCTCCATTTGAGCAGCCTCGCCCAGCTCATCCGATCCCCGGCCATCCCGGACCTCTCCCGCTCCCGAATCACAATCACACGACGCCGCCGGCGAAGCGAGGCGGAACCACCACCGGGTTGCGGTGTCGCGGTTAGCCTGTGCTCGGGTCTCGAGTGCGGTGCGGTGAGCGCTCGTTCGTTCGCTTTCTCTTCTTCGAGTGCGTGTCACAGACAAACTGGCGAATGCGGACGGGTCCGGCCGCGCGGCACAGCGGTGGCGTCCTCGTCGGTTTCCTTCGTCTCGATGGGGATGGATTTCTCTGGAATTCTCTCGGCCGCTCGGCGCGGACCCGCGGCACGGCGACACGGCAGGCCTCGGCCCATCCATGCTGCCCGGTACGGGCCCATTGCGCGCCGGATTGGCCCATCCATTTCCCCGTTCGTTCCGACCGTTCATTTGCATCCCCTTTCCTTCCGCTGGCGCGAGGGACGGGATAATGGCGGCAGCGTGCTCCCTCTCCCCCCTCCCTCTCGCGCCGCCTGTGGCACCCAGGCCAGCGCTCTTCTCGAGGTGCGTCGCTGCTCCGCGCCGTGGTAGGAATGCCGGGGGAGGCACCGGGCGCTTGCGCCTCGCCAGGAGGCTGCGCCCGCCTGCCGCCGCCATCGAAGAGGTGGAGCAGACCGAGGCCATGATGAGGGTGGCTGCGGACGACGATAGCATCACCGCCACCGTGGTGTCGGTGCTGCTCACGGTCTCGTTCGTCGGCCTCTCCCTCCTCACCATCGGGGTGCGTGACGCGTTTGTTATCTGTCCGAATCATTTCGCCCCGCCTGTATAATGAATGGCGAATTGCATTGATGGACAGTGTTGTTTTCGGATGGTCGGTGGCTCGGTGCTGACCTTGCTGGTCTTCTCTCGAAATGCAGGTGATCTATCTGGCGGTGCAGGACTTCTTGCAGAAGAGGGAGAGCGAGAAGTTTGAGAGGGAGGAAGCTGAGAGACAGAAAGAGGAGGCGAGGCAGAAGAGGGCCAAAGCGAGGGGAAAGAAAAGAAATCGACGATGACTGCTTCTTCAGTAACCTCAGTGTGAGAACTCATGGCTGGTTCTTCTGTAACCTGGGTGAGTAATTCTTAGCTTTTCTGCCTTTGCTTCTTGGAATAGCAGTAATATTAGATCCAAGATTACATATTTAGTATGAGTGAGTTTGTCCCATTTTGTACCAAGAACTAGAATATGACTAGCGAAGGGGAGCCTTGGTGCAGTGGTCAAGTCCTGGAAACAGCCTCTTACAGAAATGTAGGGAAAGACTGCGTACAGTAGACCCAAAGTGGTCAGACCTTTCCCTGGACCTGCCCAAGCGGGAGCTACATGCACTGGGCTGCCCTTAACTGGAATATGACTAGCAGAAGTATTCAACCAGACCTTCCAAATAAACTTATTCAGCCTCCGTATATGCTACAAGCAGAATTTTGTACTTTGGCCATGGGGTAAAATGTTTACGGTGTGACAACAAAACTTTATTACATGTTTTACCATTAGATGCATTGTCATATTGGTTCAAAGAAACATCTCACGCTCACATATGGAAGTTTTGAACATGTTTTTAGACAGAAGGTGCACCCAGCTTTACTTACTAATATAAAGCCCGAAACTGGCCATCAAGATAGCAAAACAGGATAAACTGATACTCCCTCCGATCCATATTATTTGTCTTAGATTTGTCTAGATACGGATGTATCTAACACTAAACGTTTTAGTGTTAGATACATCAATGTTCTATAAGTTCATCAATTTTACAAGAAAGTGCTAGAAAAAAGACAAATAAAAAACTAACACACCAAATTTTGTACGATGGATACCAAAGAACCAAAACACTCACATATGGAAGTATTCATTCACACCTTAAGAAAAAGTATTCAACCACCATATATGCTACTGTCAGAATTTTGTACTTCAGCCAGGGAGCAAAAAAATGGGGAGAGGATTTGCTGACCCATGGTTCAGCTGGTCCATATCTCTAAGCCGTAGAATGCCTATTTCGGTATCTCGAGACCTATACAGCATTATTAATTCAATGTGTATAGTGTGCAGTATCCAAAGTCTAATTAAAGTGCGTAGTATCCAAAATTTACATTTTTAGAGCACCGGTTTTGTGCTTTTTTATCTCCCAGAGCACAAAATGAGTCATTTTTTCAGAAAATTTTGTACGCATACAGAAGACATGAACACATACAATGTCAAATAAAATACAGATTTTTCTTTTAATGTATTTTAAATGATTTTACCATGTGTTGTGCTTTGCGTTCGCGTGCTAGGTGGGATTAAAAATATGATAAGCTACAGTAGCCTATGCTGAAGCTCATATCCCCACACGAATAAAGGGTAGATAGTCATGGTTCAACCAACTATTTAAAAAAGAAAGAATATTTATGGTGTCACAACAAAACTTTATTACGTATTTTACCATTAGATGCATTGGCATATTGGATCAAAGGAAGAAACATCTCACACTCACATATGAAAGTTTCTCTTTTGGAAATATCTGACAAACTACATGTTTTTAGATTGAAGGCGTGAGGCGCGCCTGACTTTATACAGATATAAAGCCCCAGTTTGGCCATCAAGGTTGCAAAACAGGATAAAAATAACTGAAAAAAATAGTATACTGAGTTCATCAGTTTTACAAGAAAGAAACAAACAAACAACAATAACAAAGCCTTTCAGTCCCAAACAAGTTGGCGTAGGCTAGAGTTGAAACCCATAAGATCTCAAAACAAAGTCATGGTTTTGGCACGTTGATAACTAACTTCATGCACCCCTGTCCATGGCTAGTTCTTTGGTGATATTCCAGTCCTTTAGATCTCTTTCTACGGACTCCTCCCATGTCAAGTTCGGTCTACCCCGGCCTCTCTTGACATTATAAGCAACTTTAACCGTCCGTTGTGCACTGGCGCTTCTGGAGGCCTGCGTTGTGTATGCCCAAACCATCTCAGACAATGTTGTGCAGTGATCTAATTGCTTTAACCATCCGCTATGCACTAACGCTTGTCCTAAGACTTCACTGTCAGCATTGACATGACAATAGATGGATGCTCTATCCAAAGCTCACCCCATATAACATATTTTTATAAGCAACACACTTTTATGTTGCCAGACAGCTAATTATTTTGTTCAGTTAATGTTAAGGATTAATGGCCTAGTCTGTTTATCTTTCTGAATTCAAGAAAGCTAAACCCTGGATTGTGCATTAGCAAGTGAGCATCATGGTTATAAAGTACTGCTCAATTGCCCATAAGCATGTTAATTACTTTTTTATTGCTACACTTGGGTTCCACCCTCATAGCGAATTGATCTGGTGCTTTCTCCTGTTACGGTGCTTCCATGCCACGTCGACAAATGCTTACATGCACACTCGTCGAAAGTCACATATGCATTTCGCTCAAGATGATTATTTTGTTGACAAGGGGAATGTGTTCAGCGTCAACAATATATGATTACTGCTCTATACAACATCATTTTCACCACCTAATCCGCTTACATTCTCAGAATCATTCACAGATGGCTATACCAGTTGGCTGATGTTAACACATCAGCTAATTTTGCATAGAACATGTTTCTCGAAAAAATGCACAGAATACATGTGGGCCTGTTATCTTTTCTTTGTGACATTTTGGAATAGAACAGGAAGGTAGAGAGAGCATTTCAGGTCCTGCCACCCCACGAAAAATGATACAATTCTTTGTTGAAAATTCCAACAACATTGACATGAAATCAATCTATCATGTCATATAATTTGTTATTTGAATCTGACATAGATTTCCAAACAAAAAAGACAAATTCATCCACCCAATCTTCTTACGTACTTAATCAGAAATGGAAGGATGGAGGTGATGCCAGCTGGCAGATGTTAACAGAGCAGCTGAATTTGCATCGAACGCATGTGGGCCTCTGCCTTTTTCTTTGTGACTATTTGGTACATAACAGGAAGGTAGAAACATGAGAACATATCAGGTCCTGTCACCCCTCGAAAAAGTTATACAATTCTTTGTTGGAAATTCCAGACAATATTGACATGGAATGGATCTATCATGTCAAATTTGTTAGATTTATCTGATAGAGATTTCCGGACAAAAGACAAATTCACCACAGTCTGCTTACATTCTTAGGCCTCCTTTGGTTTAGAGGAATCTTGTACTCCCTCCGTCCGAAAATACTTGTCATCAAAATGGATAAAAAGAGATGTATCTAGAACTAAAATACATCCAGATACATCCCTTTTTATCCATTTTGATGACAAGTATTTCCGGACGGAGGGAGTAGGAATTTCATAGGATAGGATTTCTACAAGACTCCTATAGAAATCCTATCCTATGAAATTCCTACAAGATTCCTCTAAACCAAAGGAGGCCTTAGCATCCTTCAGAAATGGAAGGATCGAGGTCATACCAGCTGGCAGATGTTAATAGAGCAGCTAAATTTGCATCAAACACATGTGGGCCTCTGTATTTTCTTTGGGACTGGTTGGTAACAGGAAGGTAGAAATATCAGATCATGTTAGGGCCTGCCACCCCTGGGAAAATGATACAGTTGTTCTTTGAGAGTTCCGATAACATGGATATAAAATCAATCTAACATATCATACTATCTTATAAAAATCTGGTCTAGAATCGGTGATCCAAAATAGAAAATTTGTTATGAGGGCAAAAGGATAAACATAAAGCTAATATTTATATATTTTTCTCTTTATACTTTATGTAGGAGGCTTGATTATATAAATGATTTATCTAAAGATTTTTCTTGAATTTTTTCAATGAACATTCACATCGCTTTTCAGAGGGACTGCATGGTAGGCTGGTAGCACCGTAATGTGGTAGCAATGGATATGTTTTCTATATAAACAGAAAATAGCGTTACTTTGACCTTTCACAATGGTTGTCTTGCTTGCCTGTTGAACTTGGACCATGTGTTTAATCGTCAGTGTTGTATCTGTGGCTAGAATCCACTTTGTCCTTGTAGTAATTCTTGATGTTCTAAATTCCATTCTGCTGTACTTTGAGTTATGCATTCACTTATGGTGTTCCATTTGGTATCAATGCAGATCATTCTCCGGGGTATGATTTTTGTGCTGGTTTCGTGTCATTCTGACGTTCTGGGGCCCCTTTCTCATCGTAGTTCAGTTCAGATGAGTTCCATTTCCTGTCAGTTATTCAGGCTGTGAATCGTGAGTAAAAGTGTTATGTACTGCAAAATACATGGTAAATTATATCTCAAAACCGACGCCGACCGAATAAACCTGATGCATGCGGTCTTCGGTCCTGAAATGAGGCACCCTTCTGCTGTCGAGGCCAACCAACAGTTTGCTGAAAAGTTTGGACAACCCCAAAATACTTGCATTGAAAACAAAGGCCGAAGCACTACGCATCAAAGCAGCCTTTCTGCTGGTTGAATTTCTACATGCCGCATGATGATTGTTCAGATATTTTTTTTTCTCTTTTGAGAAACCTGATGATTTTTTGGATGTTCCGTCGCTCGTGTGGCGACGCTGGATTCGGGCTGGTTTGGCAGCGCCCTTTCTCTCGCGCGCGCGAACCCTGAAAACGACAGCCAGCGCATCCATCCATGTTCGTTGGGAGTTGCTTTCCCTTCTGGAAGCGCGGACCAGCGGAGAGAAACTTGGTCCGTCCATTTCGAGATGCGCCGTACGATGCCGAGGGCCCATGTGCCAAAAGGTCCCGATGAAGCTCCCGCAGCTGGATACTGGTGGTCCGCTGGATGTTCGTGTAGCCTCAGCGGAACCTTGGAAAAGAAAGCAGCTGTACAATGATGGATGCATCATGGAGTATATCATATGCGTGCATGTTGGATGCTGGGTTGAACCAATATATTTTTTTCTTTCTGGACAAGGCATCTTGATAGGTAAATTTGATGTAATATGATGGTGAATCCCGACCACTCTTCTAAGCCAACACATCATCCTCGGATAGGATAGGCACATGAGCCGAACCCATGTGTATATATACATATACTGGTAGTGGGAGTTGAAAATTGGAACCCCTTTTTTGT